CCTTTAAAGCCCTTCATGGCAGGGGGCCGGGTTCCCTGAGGGCCTGCCTCTCCCCAATTACATCTACCCGTCCCATCAGATCAGGCAGAGAAGGCATGCTGGGATCCCGTCTGCTAGAGAATTACACTTGGCAGGTCCCAGGAGGCAAGTCTTCTCTGCTGTGGTGCCCACCTTGTGGAATCTCCTCCCCCCAGAAGTGAGATTAGCTCCATCCCTCTTAACATTCTGTAAGTCCCTCAAGACCTCACTGTGTGATCAGGCCTGGGGCTCCCAGGGGACCAGGGAGATTTTACAAAGGCTCCCTTATTCATTTTATCCCCTCCTGTTTTGTGTGTTTTTACAGTTTTTTATGTGTAATTGTTTTTTAGGTATTTATTTTTTAATTGTTGTACGCCACCCAAAATCACCTTGTGTGAGATGGGCGGCTATATAAATATGATAGATAAATAAATAAACTTAGAGTAACCTCAAAGTGTGTGTGAAATAGCTGAATATACAGAGAAAGGTGATGTGACAGAATTAGCTGAAGAAAAGACATTTTGGAAGTAGATGTATTTCTTACCAGAGAAACTGCTGTGTTTTCCTTGGCTCTGGCAGTGAATTGTTCCAATTGTTTGCTCCCATGATGGTGTTTCTGGGCTGTGCAGAGCCAGCTGGACAAACAGGTTTTCTGAACAACAGAGTCTTCATTCTCATCTCTACCTGGACTTTGCCTTTCATGTTTCACCGAGGATTGGTGCCAGTTGGTGCCACTCTCTCTTCCCCTTCCATAATCTGATAAGTCCAGGGGTGTTTCTGTGGGATAATCCTGCACAGATGTGGCTTTCTCTCCTTGATCCAGGTTTTCTTTATTGACCTGGAACTGCTTCTGTAATGCATCATCCATCAAATCTTCTGGACACAGCCTTTCCTTTTTGCAGTCTTTGCCAACGCTTGGTAATACGGAAGGGGTCTGACACCAAGTGTGATCGGAACTGTCCTCTGTTCTACCTTTCCCTTCCTGCTGTGGCTGTAGCAACAAGCAGCGGAGTTTCTCCGGGCTATTAAGAAACTGGAGCCTGTTTTCCAGATGCCGGTCCTTCATGTACAGCACAGCACCAGGGAGTTCCAAGATGGTAGCCTGGTCTTCCCACTCCTCCTGGGACTTCATTCGACTGCTTACTTCCTTGGCCAGTAATAGGTGGTGAGGGAACTCGCCCTCCCTGCTGGTGGAATTACTCCGGAGGCCGAGATGATGCAGAGCAAAGCTTTGGTTGAGGAGATAGAGCTGTTCCTTTTTGCTGAACCTCAGGTTCTCATAAGACGAGGGATAGGCACAGCAATCTGATTTGTTGGGCCTTAAAAAACTAAAAGAATCAGCACCATCACCTTCGAAAAGTAGCTAAGGTTTCACAGTTGCGAGCGTATGGGGGACCTAATACTTTTCATTGGCAGTGCTAACAGTGATGGAAGCGATTAACGTCTTCTGGAGTGCAAACACAGCAGCTCTCTCCCTATTCATTAAGAGCTGCCTGACTTTTTTCAGGGATCTCTGCGAGCCAGAAAAAAAGATACTACTACTTTAAGAGTCAGTTTAAATTTAAAGAGTCCACTTCTTATAGCAATAGAGCAGCATTTCGCCGGCTTGCCTGAAGCTGACACAGTTGCTTTAAGGCGGTGTTGCTCAACCGTGGCAACTTTAAGATGCGTGGACTTCAAGTCCCAGAATTCCTCAGCCAGCATGGCTGGCTGGGGGATTCTGGGAGTTGAAGGCCACGCAACTTTAAGATGCGTGGACTTCAAGTCCCAGAATTCCTCAGCCAGCATGGCTGGCTGGGGGATTCTGGGAGTTGAAGGCCACGCAACTTTAAGATGCGTGGACTTCAAGTCCCAGAATTCCTCAGCCAGCATGGCTGGCTGGGGGATTCTGGGAGTTGAAGGCCACGCAACTTTAAGATGCGTGGACTTCAAGTCCCAGAATTCCTCAGCCAGCATGGCTGGCTGGGGGATTCTGGGAGTTGAAGTCCACGCATCTTAAAGTTGCCACGGTTGAGAAACACTGCTTTTAAAGAATAGCAGAGAGGGGCTGGCCTTGCACAGGTTCAAAGCACTTCTTTTTTTAAAGCATGCCAGCCCTAATATAAATTACATATGCATACATAAACACCTACATGGCCAACCCTGTTTAGTTTATCCTAATCTAACTTATGTGGATCAAGTCCCTATGACTCTTACACACCTGTCTTTTCTAAAACTCAGTATCTGTTCTGCCCTGCAGCACCAGGGTATCAAATCATGTGCTGGCAAGCAATTCAGCCTCTACAATTAGCTGGTCTTGAGTTCTCTTAGCCAGGGCTGAAGAATATCATATCTCAAGATATGCATATCTGAAGAATCTATTTTATGGTTCTCTTCAGATGTGTGGCCTACATTAATCATAATTCCCAAACCATTTGGCCAAAGACTGCTGGCTGGGAACATTGACCATCCCAGAAGAACTCATCTGGAGAACATCAGGTTGGGAAAGATTGCCATAAGCAAAGGGTCTAAGAACTTGGTGTGTGAGAGAGGGGGAGAAAGGAGAAAATTCTGCAGCTACTCGCTGCTATTTCCTTAAATGAGCTGCCAATTCTGCTTGACTCTGAGAGAGTTCATTTTTTGCAACAGGCAAGAAATGCAGTGGCCTTGGAAGTCCTGGGCTAAGTCTGGGGAGAACCACATTATACCCTTTCTTGATTTTGGATCTCACTGGTTGATGGTGGACCATTGACAAGGCACAGGATTTTTATTCTAGGGATAATGCCCCGCTTACTCAGAAGAAAGATCAAGAATATAATGTAGGCATCGTAAGGATAGTAACTTGTAAGGATAGTAACTTGTAAGAATAGTAACTTACGCTTCAAAGCTGGGACTTTGGTCGCAGTGAGGGGATGGTGGTGTTTTCCTTGCAAGGGGTGGGGAACCACTTTCTGGGTAATCTCCTTCTTGAGAAGAGGTTCGGGAGCCCGCTCTCATCAGCTCAATTGTTCCTTGCAATTGGTTGATTCTCTTCTGCGAGCTCTAAAACCAGAGAAGGGAAAGAAGAATAGCTGAGGACAGTAAAAGCTCAAATTCGGGGACTTCAATGGACTTTAGAGGCAAGGAACAAAATCTGAATTTGGAATAGAAATGTACATAAAATTAATTTCTGCTTAAAAATCATGTAATTTTTATGTAAGTACATAATTTATATCAATCATATAAAATTATGTAAATTGTGTAATATATAAATACAATACATAATTCTGGATTTAATGGACACCTCTTTTTCCCATTTGGTACAAAACCGAGGGTTTTACTATACATTCTTCCATGCCTACGTAGTACGGATCGAGATGAACAGCCGGCTGAGGAAAGTGATGAAGTTTCCTTCAAAATTTCTAGAAAACATTCCCATTTGGTGAAAAGACTGCATCCCACTTGCTACAGCATACTTAACCAAGTCAGTTAAAGACCTCATGGATGCATTTTCATAGAATGCTAAGCTTGGTTAATATTGACCTTGATTTAGTATCTTTTTTTATGTTTGATTATGTTGTGCACACTCAGCCTACTGGACTAATTTCTGGTTCAATATGCTTGACTCAGTAACTGATTAAGTGTACAGTGTCAATATACCGTTTGTTATATATGGTAAACCATAGGTTTAACGTACCTCTGTTTAGTGTTTGGATACTATGGACAAATTTTCCAGTTGGGAAGTGTCCTGAAAGAATGAACTTGTCTGTTATTGGAGGAAGTTAAGCTTCCTCTAAAACATGGATATGCTTCTGGGCACACTTTGAGTTGGAATTCAAAGGGAGGGAGAGAAGGCCCTAGGGAGAGTAAGCAAGCTGGTGGTAGATGCACACACTTCATGTTTGAGTTCATGGTTAGTTGAAAGAAGGAGGCTAGGAAGGTGCTGGGAAGGTGCTGGGAAGACTGGGCAGACAGGTGGGTGCACGCTGGGATAGTGGTGGGATATGAGTTGAAGGAGGGAGGTGGAGAAGTGGCTGGGAAGATCATGTGTGTGGCTGGCACCTGGGGAGGAAGAAGGAAAGGTGACCAATGCTTCCTTGCTTACAGAGCCATTGGAGAAAAAAGGATCCTCCAAGAGTCCTTAGGGTGGGTGCTAAGAATGACACCCCTTGGAGGGTTGTCTTGGAAGTGCCAGTAGCTGGCCTCTGGGAAAGGAAAGAAGAAAAGCGGGGAAACCTTCATATTTAATGGACATTTGGATTTAACAGACACTTCTTCTACCCATATGTTCAATCATGATTTTGCCATATAGTACTGTACTTGCACCCAAGTGAGAGTTCTAAGAATGCAATGTATCCATTTTTGTATCCATTGAGAAAGGTAATTGGGGACTTACTCCCATTTTGAAACCACACGTATTTGCATCAGCATAACATGCTAAGTTTGGTTAGATACATAGATCCTCACATATATACACCCAAAATGAAAGAAAAATTTAAAAAGAAAAGAAAACGATTCCATCAAAACTCAGTCTCTTTATACTACTCAAAACCAGCTTTACATATATATTTTCACGTCATGTTATCAAATGAAAATATCAACATTAGAGAAACCGCAAAATCTGGGAAAATGTAGAAGAAAATAGGATAAAGTTCAGCAAGTTATGTGACCCCAGAAAATTTTCAGCCAGGTTAATGTGTTGTGAGAATTAAGCTACTTAAACCGGTACTTGTCCCCTATATCAGTTTTTTGGGGGGGAATCATCTCAGCAGATCTCAGCATGGAAGCAGCATTGCCCCATTAGCTCCAACACTTTGGGGGATGTGTAGGACATTGCAATGCACGTAGAAAAGAGGCAGGGTTTGCATTGCAAGGCTGTGACTCAGCTTATATCACTCTGAGCCCCTTGACCCTCCCATGCAGTGTTTCTCAACCTTGGCAACTTTAAGATGTGTGGACTTCAACTCCCAGAATTCCCCAGCAACACACTGGGTACGTTTTCAGGACTGTCTGCACATTCATGATTTTGAATAGACACCCTCCGTGACAGAAAACCCATCTAACAAAATATTGAGGGCTCTGAAACACCGTCTGTCTTTCAATATGTTCCATCTAATCAGCCACTAACCCAGTCAAAACTCCTTACTGATTGCTTCTGGCAGCACATGATTGCACGAGCTGGTCAAAAATCATTCTGGGGGAAATGCATGGTCCCAATCTACCTGCTTCGACATCTAATATGCCATGAGCCCTTGGGCCAGGACAGTATGGGCAAGGCTTCATGATATAATTTCCCCCTTCCCCACTGGGCATGGCATGGACCCTGCAGCCAATTAGAATGCTGTGTTCAGGCCATGGTGTGAGTCGTGGAATGGCAAGGTTTAGTTTTTCAGGCATACTTTCTCTGCAGAATTTCTTCTTGGAGGCTGAGAACGCAAAATGGGCCAATTGGTTGTGTCTGGGGATCCCCATGGCACGTCGCCTGTTGGGGTTAGTTTAACACTGCATGACTGGGTGCGGTTTGGGTTAAATATAGTCTTCTTGGGATTAATTGACTAGGTCAGTTAATTAACCCATTTTTGCTGTCCCTGCAATATGCTATCCCCCAAGTGACCCAATTAAGCAAGTTATAGGAACAGAGCCATTAAGATGGAAAGATCCCATGACGCCCTCCAGTCTAGCCAATCACAAGTATAGTTTATATATATAACACTTCTAAGGCTGCAATTGAAATCCCGGGACATGGAAAACAAAATTCTCCAGCTTGTATAAAATAGGGAAATTAAACATAATTGCTTATTAAACATAAGAATAATTTGGGCAGAGATTCAACATTTTATAGAGGAAAAGTGTGACATGATTTCTTCTCGCTCTCCATCTAGGCTGTTGCCAGCTAATATTTCCTATTCTCAGGTTCCAGAGAGCTTTCAGACCAAGGTTGAGAATTAAATGTGATAAGGAAAGACAAAAAAAGGCTAGGTTAGCCAGGGAATTCTTTACCATATCCAGAACACGTTCTCCCTGGAGAATGATGTTAGGGGAGACCCTGCTTTCTGGAGAATGTCTGTGTTCAGGAGATTGATCTGTAACAAGAAAAGACCACAGATGCTTATTTCAGATGATATGTACTGCAAGTGGAGACATTTCTCTTCTTAGGCTACAAACCAACCTCCCCAACCTGGATCTCTCTGAATGGATTGGGAATCCAGTTCCTAAAACATCTAGCCAACATGACCACCAACTTGCTGGAAATTCTGGGAGATTCATTCATTCATTCATTCATTCATTCATTCATTCATTCATTCATTCATTCATTCATTTTATATAGCCGCCCATCTCAGACCAGTGACTTTAGTCCCAATCCATCTGGAAGGTGCTAGGTATAATGGAACCATTTGGCTCAGTATCACTGATGTTGATTGAGAGCAACAGCGCATGATTTTAGGCAGGATCTTTCCCAGCCCTTCCTGAAAAGGGAATTAAATCTGGGGTCTTTGATGTGCAAAGCAGGGAACTAGACCTCCTAGGCAGTGTCCCTCTGCTGCTGGAGGTTCTACTAGGCTCCTGATCTAGAACTGACTGAAGAGCAAATTGGGCCCAGTTTCAGGAGAACATGCCTCCTTCCAGTGGCTCGTGATACTCCTCTTCTGTTTCTTGGCTCATGTTTTTTCCAGCACTCAGTTTCCTGCTTCGGGTGGAGAGTAAAGACGAAGACAAGTCCGGGGCGGAGTTCCCTTCTCTGGACTCCCCTTTGAAAGCCTTCGGTCTGTCCCTGTTGCAGCAGAAAGAAAACAAATGAAAACCATGATGAAATGAGAGAGGGTTTAAAGGCATCTGTCCGGAGGGCTTGCATGCTTTTCATACAGCTCTGGAAAAAAATCAGAAGCCGCAGCCACTTGAGAACCACATGCAATAAAATATTCCAAATCAAATACCAGTACTTTGCTTTTATCTTTGCTTATTTATGCCATATTTATTTCTTTCGCTGGCAGTGAAATAAAGGGCAGCAAAGCTTTTATGGAGATGTTTAGGGTGAGCAGGACGCATGATGTCAGAGATCAAGAGTCTGGTATTTTTATTAATGTTCTTTCCCTTTCAGTATGTACTGTGCAAAAGTTTTAGGCAGGTGTGAAAAAATGCCGTAAAGTAAGAATGCTTTCAAA